TATATTAACGTGCGTTATCTTTAGGTGTTCGAGTTCTTCATATTATGTGCCAAATGAAATCTCTGAACTCTAAGGACGATTTAGCACATTCAGGTGTTGAAAAGACAAAGTCAGTCATGGAAACGTCGAAATATGTCGTCGTGCAAGGTGGAACATTCGGAATTGGTGCAGCAGTGGTGGCGACACAGGTTCGTAATATTCGAAATTTCCTCCAAAAAATGCGAACTGATGTATTTTCCTCATCTAGAGTTTACTGTTGATTTTTGTGAGGAACTCGCTTCTTCACAATACTCTTCATCGAAGTATAATTAGAGTGAACCACTTTTTAGTTACAGTAATCATTATATTGTTATAAATATTACTACAACGTTCTTCTAACACCCCTGGAATTCATTTTACTTTAACTTACTTTTCAAAAAAATTTGTATAACTTCTTAACTCCGCTGGCTAGAAATTTCACCAAAATTTTTGACAACTATTAGGCTTATTCTCTGAATAACAACATTCTAGTAGTATTTTATGGAAAAGTGTTTCATAGCCGAAAAAACGAATCTTTTTTCTAATTCACTGGACTTAGAATGTTATAGACTAATGCGCTGAAATTCTGTAGATGACGTCAGAAGACTTAATACTTTCATTTTATTTAGAATAAGCTATAATTTAGTATTCCACTTTGCATAATTTTCAATCTATTATTATCCTCCTGTTTAGCTGAGTCTGGCACTATCTAGTGGATGTGCTCTTCTATTTATCAATTCTGTTGGAGAGGTTCAGAAAACTGGTCAGGAATTTCTAAACTCCATTCTAAACGCTGAAAAAGCGGTAGAGCAGAAAATTTGGGCAGCTGTTGAAGAAGGCATGCGTGTCGCTAAGGTTTATAAATGTTTTTTGCTGCTTTAGTGTTCAGATGACTTCTCTTTTCATGCATCATTGTTTAGATTCCTGTGGATAAAGTGACTGAGGGCACTAATATCTTTTTGGACATTGCGAGCGTCTTAGTGGAACGATCTTTTGGCATTGTGATTGAAGAAAATGCAGACAGCTCGGTGAAACAGCGTGTAAGCCTCCTTTCGCGCAAAATCGTTGACGCCTTCAACAATCAAGTATCGTTTAATATTGACTTTATTCAACAAATTTACGATTTTTTGGATACTATTTTGAAATTTTTAAGGCACATTCGAAAGTTATCGATCCTGTCACTGCTCCGCTTCGAGTTCTTCTCGACCAACTTAGGAAGAGCTTTGTTCTGGTGAGAGCTCTTTACGGTCTAAACAACTACAAGATTGAATGTTTTTCACGGCAATCGAAATTAAAGGTCGATTATGTACGTGATAAAGGCGAATGGGCACTGGAAAAAGTTGGAGGACTATCATCGTCAGTATATGACCTGAAGACACGAATCGAGAGCGAAGCTAAGGAGTATAGTACAAGACCGGAAGAACTACTGATGAGGACTATTCAATCTACATCTTCACAGCTGAGTGAAAATCTCCAGGCGCTGAAAGATAAGCAGGTTTCTGAAAGTGACTACATTTTCTAACGTCTTTTTTATTTGGGATTAACTTTTTATTTGTATATTTTTTCAACTTTCATATTGTTTATGACATAATTCTTACTACTGAGACTGATAATTGCAAAAATTGTCCCATTAATTTCGAGTGTTTCAGTAAGACCACGCTCAAATTTTAATATATCTAATAATAAATATTCGAGCCAACATGTCAGACCACATGACATGTTGGTCCAAATAATAATTATGTAAGGTCGTAAAAATTGAAATTGGAGAAATGGAAGAAAAGAAAAAAACAGCGAAAAAAGAGTTTCTACCGCACTTTTTTCTCAGAGCGAGCACTACGTTGTATTAGTAACCTTGATTTCGTTATATAAGCAGAGGAACTGACCATCTCTTGATTACCTTGGTTACCCGAATTGATTATAATCTGGCTCAATATCTCAATGCAGATAACACCATATTCGATTTCTAGATCTTCGGTGATGGCACCAAAGTCGAATCCTTCATCGCCTATTTACATGAGCTTGACACAAATTTGGGAGAATCAAACAATATCTATGAAGTCAGAGATGAGGTTAGTAATTTATACACTTATTAGCTCTTAATCTCTAGTTACGGAGTGAATTTCAAATAACTGCTGGATTGTCCAGATGGCAGCCAGTGAAATGAAGCGTTCAAATCCTTTTGGGGAGTCGTCATGGTCTTCAAATAGACTGGAGTGAAATTTCGAAGACATGAATGTAATAGTTCTAATCTGATTTCGGCTTGTCCAGCTGCTCAGCTTCGTTGACCGTGCAGCAAACAAGCGCTCGGTCGTTGAACAGAGGACGGCACCTATTGATATTATTTTTTATTGTTTCTCTAACAGCTATCATATTAATTTGTGTGGCGGTGAACCGCTAAGATAAAAGGGAAAGGATGATAACGAAGAGTGCTATCTTTGGACTGCTAGAGTGAAGCATTCGTAAACTGATCAACGCCTAAGAACTTCAACTACGCTATCACAAACTCTTGCCATTTGCCGATAAATTATTCCGTTTATCAATGAATTGGAGCACAAATTAACCTATGGCAGGCATACGGTATATGGTATATCAAGATTTCTTAGTGTAAACTTGTTTTGTGACTGATGAAAAATGATTTGTTAGGAGTGCTAAGATTATAAAGCTGTTGATTAGTTAAGATTATAAAGCTGTTTTGTGGCAACGCAGATAGTAAATAAATTCAAAACTCGTTTGACCTTATTGAAATGACGAACTAAGTTTAATGGTGTTTTTATACGTTTACATGTCAAATGCTGAAATAGTCGAAGTAAAAACAGTCGGTAGAAGTTTAAATCAAACGACTGAGATTATTCTTATAGGTTACGTAGTATCATGATTATCGGAAAGAAATTTGTAGATGTGGATTCCCCTAAGGGTTGACAGTTTTTCTTTTCGATGAAATATCTGGCTAGTTCGTCGTTTCATTCAATCTGAATATTTTTTAAATTCGTTGCCATAAAAAAGGGTTTAGGAGTTGCGGGTTAGATTTTTTGAGTATAAACTCGTTCTTTACGCAGGCTATAGCGATTTGAAGAATCACTTTAAGGGCCAATTTGGTGTACGGTGTTCGCACGTTGCGAAAAAATTTGTGCAGATCTGCTTTGCTCAACAATACGAAGAAGATGGAACGTTTGCTAACAATGTGCATAAAAGTTCTGCCTTTGAACTAATCGCCTGCAAGAACACTTGCTTTATTTTTTGAAGACAATGAAACTGCCTTTTCATGTTTATTTTTAATGTCTTCATTGTTTTTACAGGTGCTTTCCGAAGCTACTCAGCGTTTTTCTGAAGTGTCAACTTGGATTTCTAACCTCCTGAACGGTGAGAAACAAAGCAGTGATTGATGTATGTGTTGAAGAGTCTGTGTGTTCTCATGCTATTACAAGACAGATGTTGCTCATCATATGACCTTTAATATTTCTGTTTGTATGGAGTGTCGTTGGATTTCTGCTGTGATGCCAACCTCACCATACTAAAACATTCATACTAATGTGTAAGCTCTATATAAGATTATTACTATCGCGTTGTATCTCAATAAATATGACTTTACCTCCAATTTGGCTGCAAACTATCATCATGCCTAGTAGATGTACGTAAAAGGATAACAAAAATGGCAGCCCAGTGGTTAGTGATGCGGTGTATCAGGAAGGAAAGGTGATAAGCAAGACCTTCTTTCAACCACTCCTGAAACTCTTGCATTCAATCAGCGAGCGCTTAGTGGAGGCCCCTTCTCGACTACCCCCATAATTGCATGTGGAATCATCTCGACCAGTATGTACGATATTCTAAGAAGCGAAAACCTCAAGTAGGCTCAACTAACACATGTATTCTAACAAACCTTTGTGGAGGGCGATGCGATGGAATGAGTCGAATGCAACAAATGCTGGGTTCCGCCCAGTAAATTATGGTTCTAGGTCGTGAATGAAAGAATAAGTAAATAATAAATATAGGGTTCTGCAGTTGAGAGCGAGAGATGTTTCAAGGGCACATCTTTCTTCTAGCCATTGCTAACCGGATGAGGAACCGGACGGAACGAATGAGACTCGCATCCACACGTACTCAGCACTTTAGTCTTTTATTTGATCCGTCATAGTATTTTCTTTTTTTTTCACTCTGCGGATCTCAGCACTTCTAGCATTCAATTCGTTTTTCGTCTTCTTCTTAAACGGCGTAAAATCTTGTTGAGCGAGTTCCCTTGCAATCTTGAGGGCCATAGGATGTTATTGTTGACTGCCGGAGAGAAGTGGCTGTGGAGCTCGACTCCACGCGCACCGTGACCAACATCACAACCACTCGGCTACGGTGCCCTCATCCACACACGGTCACTAGAAAAATCACTGCTCATTGAAAGCACACTGTGTAAAGGGAAGAGGTCAGCATAGTTGGAAGAACTAGCTCGTCTATATCCAACGAGAAGTATTTAGAGTTTAATTTACGTTAACCTACATGGAATGGAATATGGAGTGCTAAATGTGCCACATATAATAAACGATACATTAAAGAAACTCGTCAAAACACCTGTAGTAATGTAAAGCGCTACTGAGTGGCGCAAGCATAGGACACCTTCTTTGTCATAAGGTTAGTGTTTGGCGGTACCAACATTAGCCAGCGTTATATCTCTTCACATATAGAAGACCGGCGCAGCCAACTGCTCGTCAATCGCTTACTTTTTCTACATTTTACTATTTGATAATAATTCGACATTAGAATTATTACGAAATACCAAACCCATGGCTTCTAACATTCGATTCATTTACCTGCATCCAACACTCAAGAAAGTGGCTAGAACATTTTGCGTGTGACATCAGCTGCTCCTTATAATACTTCTCGCCTTCATAAGAATAGTGCTGACCAAATCGAAAATTCTTTTTATTTGACCTCTTTTAGCGGTTGTATGATGTTACAGATGTACTCACTCATGTAGAGTGATGTGGCGCGACTTTTACGTCACCCGGGATTTGAACTCAGATCTTACTCTTTCCAGCAGCAAGTACTAAACCGTTGCACCACTGACGCTCGTTTTGTCATCACTCCCATGCTACAACGCATCTATCTGTCAGCAGCCAAGCGTCAACGGTTTGACCCAGCTGGTCGACATCGATACCGAGCTCACTCACGCTGACAGATATTCGGTATTAGATGATCACATCACTGAGTATACCTGTAACATCATACCACCACTAAAAGCGGTCAGATATAAAGCCCTCGATTTCATAATCCAATAAACAGTATCTGTCAGCTTGACTAGGTTCAATGTCAATACCAACTACTTGTGCCAAATCGTTGACGGAGTTGGTTGCTAAGAGACAGATGAGTTGTAGCGCAGAAAGAGTGATGGCAGAACGAGCGTGAATAGTGCAACGAGTTAGAGCACGCGATCCCGGATAGAGTAAGATACGAGTTCGAGTTCCGCTGTTGCAAATACTGTTGAATCAAGACTGTGATTGTTTATAATTGTTTGCTTTATATGAAAATACATATAGCCCTGTCACTTGCCAGCATTTCATATAGTTCTAGATACCGAACATTGCTTAGTTTTTCAAAGATCTGAGGCACGCAAACCGGCTAGGCTGCGAATGCCAATCAAATTTCAGAACACTTCGTTAAAGTGAAAGTGGGCAGTGTCTTAATTTCTTAGCGTGACTGAAGTATGAGACCATGCCTATGCGGCTCAACTTTCATGGGCTCTCTCTGATGTGTGTTTTCTTCTCATTTATGTACAATGTAGCCTTCTTTCTTACTTCGTTTGGTCCATTGAGCATCGTCTCTGCTTCAGTCGTACTCCCCTCAATGATAACGATGTCATCTACTAAGGTGGAAAGAAAGTTCTGGGGCACTTGTAAAAAACTGAAAATTTTTGCATGAACTTCAAACAAAGCAATAGCAACTATTCTTCAAAAATGAAGGCCATCGTTTTCTACGGCTTTTTACCATCGGTCCGCTATCGGTGAGAAACATCAAGTTTGGCTGCCAATTCGCGAGAACTTGACAACAGTCTTCCAAAGCATCGATCAAATCTTAGTTGTTCAACTTTGTTGGACTTTCGAGCGAGGCTTGTCTTCGAGGTCAAGATTTCCGGCATTGAAGAGGGTTAGAACCAACGTCCAGCAGCAGATCTTCTTGTTGCGCTTTTCTCTTCAACCTTGTTGTTTTCATAGAGTGAAGCTTGCACTGAAAAAACCCTTTCTCCAATAATGACGCAGTAAAACACGAACTGCGATTGTATCGTTGGACATGGAAGAGGCTTAAAAAGTGAAAACAAAGACGAATAATATCTATGCCTTCAGTGGGAAAGTCCCACATAAGAAACTGTAATATTCCCATGATATGCATGGGAGTTATCTCATGCTTATCAAAGTGCCCCACTTTCCAATCTATTACAAGCAAAGGTTATGGGAAAATTTCTTTGAAACGTACGCTCTTTATGTCCCAATTGAGCGGCTTAATTATCCACTGCAGTTAGTCATATACCAAGTCTATTATGGACTATTCTGTATTTACTTATTTGTTTGAATGTATCAGCTTCCATATATACCTAAGCTAATTGAGTGGTGAGCAAAAATGCGACCTCAGGCGGGAGTCGAACCCGCATTTCATTCATGCCGAGGACGTGTGCTAACACTACACACCAAGATAAATTTGCGCCACCACTCATTCATCAACATCTCTATATTAGCTGTCAGTCACCAATCCTTAACAGGTTTGGCCAAGTATGCGATTTCGATTTATAAACCCCGTTGAGCAGACAGCCACTGTTAGATATAATACTCGAGAGTTCTAGTATTTTTACTGCTTTTCTTCGCAGTGTTATGATGTTTCATACATATCTAAGCGAACTGAGTGATGAGCAAAAATACGACCTTAGGCGGGATTCAGACCCGCAATTCATCCATCCGAATTCATATATCAGTTTTTACCAAAACTAGTTACTGAGAGCTGTATAGGGTGAGAGGATGATTTTTTTAAACTTCAACAATCGAACTTCAGTGTGAGTGTCAACGACATGCCACTCCCGCCCTATCAGATGTTATATTTTCGCATCAGCTGACCGATGTGCCATTTCTTGTAGAGACATTGATAGAGGGGGTAATTAACAGTTGGCAGAAGCATATTACTTACCAACACCACCACAAGCACCTCTACCACCTACACCATCAGCGTCGTCATCACCCGATCGCACTCGTCCCAGTCGATGAACGTCTTTGCTGCACTTACCTACCTATTTGGAGATGTAGCGGTTAGTGTACCGTTTCTTTTTCTTTTCAATTTCAGTAAGTGGATGAACAGTTTGTTGTTTTCTTAACGAGTAGATACGTAGCATGTATTTCATTATCAAATCACCATAACTCACGTTTCGGCGGATTCTCCAGAATCCAAGAGATCCAACTTGACAAGCAATCGTTGTCAGCCCAATACTTTCATAGCTTTGACAGAAGAACGCTGAGACGTGAGTATCATTCACTCGGGGAAAAGTTTTTTCAAGACACCTTATTTCTTTGAGAAACAGTGTAATTATTGAACAAAGCTTTAGTTGATATAAACTTTCGGAAATCATTAAAAAATCATTACCATGAGTATTTGGATCAAGTAATTAGCTTCTTAATTTTGACTCTACTTATGACGCTGCTTGTCTATCGAAATATGTTAAATCAGGTGCGACATCCTTCAACGGATGTCTGATTTCTATAATTTCACATTGATCGCCAAAAATCGCAATTCATTTTAGCTCTTCAACGACGTCTGGCAATTCTTGCCCGAAGATCTCATCTTCCGTCATCTCCATTTCGAAATTGAAATCAACAACTATGCACAGCCAACTGTTTGCCCGGCCGCATAAGGTTTTTCCAAGCCCTTGAAAAACCTCTTGAATCTCATCGGTTTCGAAAATTCCTCATAACTTGTTCTTTCGTGTGAATGCGGTGTTTATATGCGAATTTGTCTGCGTCTAACCAACTGGTATATTCATTCTACAGGTACTTAAAAGTTGAGTTGTCTTATTTAATTCGAATTAAAGATTTTCGTTAATCATTTGTAATCGATGCCAGCACCTAGCCGGCCACTTTCTTTATTCTGTGTTCTGTTCGTTATCGCTTTCTTTTTTCTTTCTCTCAGCCTTCAGCATGACATTACTCAGCGCCGGCCACCTGCTGATCATTATCTGTCAAGTCCAACCTATCGAAGATCTTTGATACTAGATGAGGGACAGCCTTGCAGAAATGAGCAACATTTTGTTTATTCGCTCAAATGTGAAAGAAAAGAATGGCGAATATATGTTCAGAAACTTACTGTTTCCAAGATCAGCGTTCAGAATTTTAACTGCTGAAATAGCCAAGCTGTTTATGAGTCTACCCGTTGTATTTGCAAATAAATTAACTACGTAATTGAATTAAGAAAATAATACTTTCTCTGATAATTTCTATTTCTACTAAATTAGTTTGAAAAATCTTCTCAAGGGGGTGTTCCTTCATAAGGAAAAGTGACAGCTTTTGTGAATCTTGCTCGAAAACAAATGCGCTAATCTAATAAGGAGTTAAATGATGCTTCCAGGTTGAAAAAATGGTCTCAGTTGGGACTCGTCTGATTTTTATTGACATTTATCAATCTTCACTGTTTTAATCGTGATTAGAACCGCGTGACATTAACTACCACTCATGGCAATGAACAAATGAGTAGTCACTCAGACATTACAACACATTGTACTGGTTATAGTGGTTAACGTCACTAGTGATCATGTCATTTGATTTTTTCAGAAAATACTGATGTTCCGGTTAAAGTTGTTGTGCTGATTTATCTCGGGACAAGAACGGATGGAAAGTTTTTAGATTAAACGCACTAAGAAAATTTACTAGTGTTTCATCTGAGAAATGCCGAATTCTTGAAATTTTCGCAATTTTGCAACTACGCTTTTGTTCGATGGAAAAAATCTTGTGAAAGAATAAACATAGAATTACGGCGCCGAATTTAAATTGAGAAAAGCTTACTCATCATGAAAAATGCTTACAAAGCGATAGATCTGCTTGTAAAACATAAATATTAACCCTCTGAGGGCCATGTGCATAGCTTTCGATACATGCGCTTTTTATGGTTCTTCATGGTTTATTTTCTGAAAGAAATAAAATTTATGTACATCAATGTCGGTCTTTTACTTTTACTCTCGCCTTTACCTGTAGATAACGTTGTTGACCCAATCACGTGAATTCGCATGCAAAAAACTGGCTCATACACGTGATGATCACGTGCCTCACTGCTAAACGATTTGAAATGAGGGTGATTTTCATCTTATTCGTCGGTTGTCCTCAGAAATTTCATGTAACTGTGATGATCTACCAATGGGTTGTGGCGCGATGCTCTTTCGATGTAACAAATCAGTGCAGTGTAACCCTTCGGGACAAGTTTGATACCAATTTACCGACCTCGGAGGCGAGCGCTTGGTTAGCCATGAAATCGAGATCGAACTATTGAACTTGTATGCGATACAGAGCACTTCTATCCACTGCGTCATGCGCTTAGTAACTCCATCCTTCGGTTGTGAAACGTTAACAGCGATCAAATTTTTCCATCATGGTAATTTCTCTCTATGACTTGTCTTCTCTGGGTATCAAGCGGCAGTCGTGAATGAGAAGAAAGACAGCGAAACCAGAAAGAAAGCGACGACGAAGAGAAGGAATTTTCGCCAGTGAAAAAAGCCACAGAAAATTGAAAACGTCCTCCTAACTCACAAAAAATGTTACAGTAGTACAGGTTTTATTATGGTTAGAACTGGCTCTATCTCGTCACATCACATGGAGACAAATCATAGTCAGAAATGCATATTGAAAAAATTTGATTATGTGTAACGTTCCACTTTTGACAGTCAATAACAAAGTTACTAAGCGCATGTCGTAGCGGTAAGAAAGAATTGCTCTACATCGCAAGCAAGGTCAATGGTTCGGTCTTGCGCTCATGGCTCATCGAGCGTTACTCGCCGAGGTCGGTAAATTGGTACCAAACTTGTCTGGGAGGATTATTAGCACTGA